AAAAATGCGAGCGCTCTGTTTTATCATCATAAAATAAAATATATTTGAATCGCGAGCGTCTTTTCGTTTAAAAGTTTCACTTTTTTCTATCTCTCTCGTACGGAATGTTCCAACAGTGAATAAGTAAATACTGTTCTTTGAACGAAAATACTGATCACATGGCAAATTTAACTAAACACTTAAATCTGCATAAATTTTACAGAACAAAAACTGTACGTACTAAATTATTGCATGATTATTATTATTATTGATTTTTTTTCCTATCTATAGAAAACTTTATTTAAAACGTTTTGAATGTATCATGATTATTTTATGTTTCGTATTATCAATAGAAGAAGTCAAGCTTTAAAATTTCACCGACTTTCAACTTTTCTTGTATTATTTAGAAAATCGGCTATGTAAACGTCTTCGTCCGTCGACGTATCAATTAGTTCTACGTTGATAGCGTAGCCAAGCAGATTTTTAGCAAATTCTCGGCTTTTAATGAAAGACACGAAGCTTTTTGAAACAACCAATTCCAAAAATCTCAAACTGTCATTTACTGTCCAGTTGGCTTTTCTTTCTGGTGAAAGGCCTGTAATCACATGTATGAAAAACTTGTTAAGGCAAGTAATTTTGAAATGATTACTGTATATACATATATATATATATCCTTTACCAACTAGCTTAGCCTTGACAGCTTGAAATGGTAGCTCCAAAAATTCTTCAAGCAAAGGCTGTAAATTGTCTAATGATACAACCCTAAAATCGCCATAATCACAAGCATATACAACAAAAATATTGTCGCTTATAATTTCAAAAACGCAGCCTCTGAAAAATAAAGGACGTTTATTTACAAAATTCGTTCATGTTATTTTTTTTCTGTTTCAACACACCTAAACCATGTATCATCATCCGAATTTTGAACAGCATAAACTTCTCCCAATTTGATACTCTCTGACGTGAGCTTAGCACCGCAGTAAGCTTCGCAAGCACTTAACAATTTCTGCATTAAAACCTATAGAAGATTACAGTTGAAAAGAAGTTTATCAAAAGTTTAACATTGAAATAAAGTTTGTGCTTACGTCAAGCTTAATTGCATCACACAACGGCTGTACAGTAAAATCATCAGGTGCAGCAGCCATAGTTACATGTACATCGAAATAAGAATTATCTTCAGGTACTATCGGAGGTTTAAGAGGGAAATTTGGTTGCGTGAAAGCTGGACAATTATTTGAAGTGCCATCGTTTATACTTGTTGAAAGAAAATAAATTATGTAAGAGAAAATTATTTTTATGATATTTAATTTTACTCGTTTCACTCCTAAATACTTACGGTATCGTGAATTCAAGAATCAATTCATCATTAATATATAAAAGGCAGTTATCTTCCATACGTTTGTAGAATTCGACAATAGGAACTGATCTGCAAAATCCCACAACTTTCATGTGAAATACTTGATACAGAGGAGCCAGGAATTTCATATATTCTGACATCCTTTTGTTGAACATAGCCGGTAAAAACGCAACCTTCTCTGAGTAAGTGAGATTTAATGCTACATTCTAAAGATACTCTTTGTATCTGTGCTGCTTTTTTAAGCCTTTTTTTCAATTTTCTTTTTCAAACTAATAAATTCACGTATATATTTGAATGTGATTCAAGATTTCTTTAACACAAATTTTGCTATACACATTTTATATAAGTTAACTATTTATTGGAACAACAAAGTTAAAGGGTTGTGCTTCCATGAGTTAATGGTAAAGGGTCTAGAGTATTGTAATTTTGTAAACATTGTCGATTTTCTAAGCCTTTTAATATAAGTAGAATGTTTATACTTTTGGAGGTAAATTTTCAGGTAAAACATAGATTATAAACTTGCCGCAAACAGCACAAACAACGTCAACTTTTTATGTTGTATATATGAGATCATTTGCGGCTGGTTAATAATTGAACATGACCTTACTGTAAGAGTAGTACTAACAATTATTTGGATCAGCGCCATCTAGCGGTCTTTATTTTTTGGCCAAAAGTGGCTCCTAAAATTCTCAACCAGAGCATTCAGGATTTGAGCCACTTAGTCAATTACAAACCAGCCGCAACTCATGACGAAGCTATAAAATAAAAAAATAACGATACGTGTGTTTTTGGCGGCAAGTTAACAATTTATTTTATGCTTGAAAATTTATATTCAAAAGTATAAACACATAGGAGGTCGATTTTTTGGTAGAAAAAAGATTGTTAACTTGCCGCCAAAGACACATGTATCGTTATTTTTTCATTATATAGCTTCATCATGAGTTGCGGCTGGTTTACAATTGACTAAATGGCTCTATGCGCTGAAGCTCTAGTTCAAAAGTTTAGGGCCACTTTTTAGTTCAGAAATCCGCAACGCTAGATGGCGCTGATCCAAATAATTGTTAGTACTACTCTTACAGTAAGGCCATGTTTAATTATAAACCAGCCGCAACTGATCTCATAGATATAAAATAAAAAGTTGACGTTGTCTGTGCTGTTTGCGGCAAGTTTATAATATAACTCATACCCAAAAATCGATTCAGTAAATTAATTGGGAATCGAGAGGAAAAAATAGTCACACT